AAAAAAACCAGCAAGGCTTTGTTCGGCTGGCCGGGTTGAGTGGTGCGCAGTGTATTTGCAGAGCAGTCGATTCGTCTGATGTACCTGGAGCAGTTCATGGAATCGGTGTATGGCAACGAGACGCTGCGCGAACGACTCGCATTCGAGACCGGCGTGCATGTGAGCCAGGGACTGGCCTGTGTCGCCTGGGACGCCAAGAACCAGGTAACTTAGTTACCATACTACCCCGCAACACATCGACCGCGGGGAGAGGGGACGTAACAGTTTCATGTTGAAAAAGGATGCCGCCTACGAGATTTTTTAAATTCCAGCAAGTGGGTATTCTGACATCTACCCAATTCCAGAAGTGGGTAAATGTTAGTTCTGGGCAGCGGGCTTGACATTTGAGGGTTTTGGAGGATTTCGCGATGCGGACGAAGTAGCGGAGGAAGAGGAAGCTGGGACTTCCTCTCTGTCTTCTTTGTGTGGAGCGCCAAAATTGTGTGTATCGTTAGAGGAAAACGCGAAAAATCCAGTCAAGAACGAACCAGGGACATGCGAAATCAGGCCCGAGTTATGAACTGGAGTCAAAGAAGTGCGAAACCGGACCGGACTCTGTGAGCTAGGCTGATGGCTGCGCGAAAATGATCCGAGGAGTTCGGAGACCAATCAATCGGCGATGTGTGAAATTGGGTCGGAAATGTGCGAAAATCGACGAGACCTGCGCAAAACGGAGCTAAGGGAGGAGGTGCGCTTTGTGCGAACTACGTGTGCTACTTGGGAATGTTTGCTTTATCGAGTAAAAAGAGAATTTTTTTCTCTTCTTTGCAGCGCTGGGTGCGTGCTCGGCTGACGTGCACCAGTGGCGACCGCTCGGTGGTCGATGCTGTGGCCGTCGATTATCCGTCGATCACGCTGCGTGCCCTGCGGTTTCGCGATGAAATTTTCATGCTTCGAACGGATCTGCTTTTCCCGCCGCTGGTAAGCGCACCTTTTGCTCCTTACACAAGCGCAACAGCTGTTCAAGTTGCCTCTGTTTCAGTCTGTACATGTTTCCGAATCGGGTTATGAAAGCACGGAGACTTCGATAGGATCAACCCATGTCAGTTGCATTGGTAATGAGAACTTGGCGGAGGGTGGGAAGAGGGAGGGGAAGGTAGGCAGATCAGCACATAACGCTGATCGGAGGCGCAAGGAGTTGTTCCCTTCAGGGAAATAGGTTTATGCAGTAGTGTATCAATGGTGGCTAGCAGTAGTACTGGGATTTTTTTTTTGTTCGCCAAGCAACACTCTCTTTCTCTGCTCCTTTTCTGCAGGACTCGTGAAGTCAGTCGGAATGAATGTATGGAAAGACCTCGAAATCAAGAAGTGAAATAGATAGTGGAAAGCATAAGTTTTTTATAAAAAAGCCCAGGAGATGTAATGAGGACCTGTAGGGAGGCTAAATGTGAACTTGGCTGTCTGTGTGTTTCATTCCTAAGCTGCAAACACAGACAGTATGCGGTGCAGATTGGAATGGGAATCGTCAGTGCAGCCCCCAATCCACTCTTTGGAAAAGTTGATAACATGTTTGCGAATTCATTTCAGTGTTGCTCAATTCGGGCAGTGGATGCGAACGACAAGCTGGAGATACTGGCCAAGTCGGCAGTGGCCAAAGAGGTGCTGCAGATCGGCGTGCACATACGCGTCTATTCGCCCGCCTCGTCAACCCTTTCAATTATCGAACTTACCAATGGCCTGAAACTTAGCGAATACATAGAGCATGCTGTTGAAGTAAGTCGATTCGGCTCCACTTACGCGAATTAGGCATGTATCAGTGGTATGAGGAGCACAACGATAAAAAAAAAAAAATAGCCTTTGCGAACAGTAGGCTGAGATGAATTGCTTGTTATCCATTATCGCCACTGTTATCGCTGTCTTTATCACCATCCTTACTTCCAGGTTGATTCTGTGCGCTTCGGAGGATTTGGCCCGGATGGTTTGGACGCGCTAGAAGCAGTTAGTCTTTGATCAGAACTGCTTTTCATGTAGTTTCGGGTAAATGCGTTTTCCAGGCTTTTAAAAAGATTAGCTGCTTCCAGGGTGTTGGCCGATTTTACCATGCTGGTGGGCGAGCTCCTCATCACGAGATCACAGCCTTTTCGTCGAGCGTCAGCAATTTTCCACGTACTGTAATTATGCCTCAGGAACGCTATGTGGAGCCATTTAGTCAGTCACTTTCGCTTGGTCAGTTCAATCTAAAAGATTCGCTTTCAGCTTACAGTCATCTCAGGAAGGAAGCTTTTAAAACACAAACGAATGCGTAGGAATCGAAAGGCCAAAAAACCAACGCGAACGAAGCGGCATAGCATTTTACTGCTGTAAACGGCTTTTATGCGTTTTTGCATTTATGCAAATGCAAAAACGCATATTGCCAAGAGGCTGTCTGTGTTTGTGTATGTTCGTACTTTTTGTCACCCATTTCCAACTCGAGAACTAAGAAAGCTAGAAGGCTGAAACTTCGGGAGTATGTGCCCACACCATGTGCAACTCTCCCGTTTTAATATCATCACCCGCGTACGCTGGGGTCCCAAGTACAAGCACCTCAAAAAAATATACGAGTTTTTTGGCGGAGAAGCGATTTGGAGATCCGGAGAAAATGGCGATCTGAAGCTTTCAAGGATGTTCTCTGTAAATCCGTGAGCTAAAGATTTGAAATTCAGCCCGTAGGCATCCGTGGTTCACAAGTACAAGCATGTGAAAGTTTTGGCGGAAAAATTGCTAACTCGGGAACCAGAAAAGCTGGAAGACTGAAATTTTAGGAGAATATTCCCTGTCCAAATACAACATAAAAGTTTCAAATTCAACCTCTAGGTGTGCTTGGTTATCGTGTATGGGCATTTAAATTTTTTGGCGGGGAAATTACCAAGTCATTTTCAAAGAACGACCGCTAAATAGAAATTTTTTTTTTCGTTTATGCAAAATTTACGATGATTTACGATGGTAAGCGCAGTAAGTAGGTGTTAAGCGCAACAACGTTCATGCAGTTAACTTAATTATTTCAAGTTTGTTGCAAAAACACATGATTGCACCGGCAAGCTTGGTGCATTCCAGCCTGGGTTTAAACAAAAAAGTAGACCTAATGTTGCATAGTTATCGCCGTACTGTGTTCATAGGCATAAAAGCTCGCACTGATTCTGCTATTGGCATATCTATTTCTATGAGGTCACAGTTTTTTCGGTTGGCATGTGAATTTTTGGAAGACTTGATACCTTTTAATTAGTATGTTCTCATATTCTTGCGATATGCGGCGTAACTGTAAAACCTACTTATAGGCTCACAGCGCCGTTCATTACCATTACGATGTGGTCTCAGCGCG